CAACTTTCTACCCCAATGTCCGTTATCTCGTAAGGATTGATTTAAGTGGCAATCTATAGATGAAAAATTGGACTGGTTACTGATAACCAGATATCTATATTTATGCAAATATAGATTAATGTACCGAAACTGGAATCAAATAGAAAATTCTTTAGTCTGTTAAGGGTAGCTTCAGGTTTCAAGTAAAGTAAAATTGTTATTAAACTTTATGAACTGTTTGGTACACTGAATTTCTGACACCTGAGTTTGCTGATAACTTTAGCCGGTTACTAGGCGAGTGTGCTAATGCGAACGACTTACCCTCCCACGAATAGTTTACAGCTGGTCGACCGGTATGCATGAAAACCAGACGATGAATTCTTCAAGGACTTTATTTACCTAATTAAGGAAATTTGGGTACAGATAAACGTAACTGGTAATGGTAAAATCCACCTAGAAGCAGATTGAAGAGTTTCTTTTCAGCCAAAAAAATCGAAGTTGTATGCCATTGATACAATGAAGTTAATTGCAAAATGGAAAAACGTTGTGAAAGAATTAAATCAATAAGAATATGATAAGAACTGATACAGATTTCAACTTTACCCTCAAAAAGGCTACGAACTTTCCGAACAACCCAATACTACGATAAGAAATGGACTTTTTTCTACAAAGAAGCCATCGAATATTTCCATTTCATGCATTTGTTTAGAAGTTATAATTATTTCAAGTAACTTCCAATTGCAAATGTATCGTCAACAATTTCCATTTTGGCGCTCTATGCACCTTCTTCTCTATCTGCTTTTTATACAAGGTTCTCATCGTATTTCCGGTAAATAATTTGCATTCCTAATTCCTTGGAACTTACAGGATAATGTCTCATTGGTATTCTAGGTCACGTGGGAACCATACATTCGGCCATTTCCTACCACCCTCCTTTGCATAAATATCCGAACTATCCAATATGTGTCATATTATCGAACAGAAGGATAATAATTAAATATCCACTGCAATTTTATTGACAGGAACTATGAATCACTTATCGGTATGCATAGTCAGTAATAAAAAACATTGGGAAAAGATAAAATGGAGAACTTAAAGAATCGACATTGCATAGTGGTGCAGAATCAAAACGTAGTAGCTCAAACGGTCAAGAACCAATTCCCTATATCTTCAAAACAACTCAAATTTATCTACAACCATGGAAGATTCGTTCCATTCCTCTGCTTCCTAGACCCTTTTGTACCATCAGTATCGGTCAAAAATAGAAAAAGAGGTCCCTAAAAATTCCGACATCCATAAAAATGTTGCAAACACCGTTGAATGATCATATAATCCAAGATGGTCCAGTTCTGGATCCACTTCTGTTCGAATAAAATTTATAAATCACAAAAATTTGTCTTATTTCAGCTATTGAAGCATACGAGCTCTAAATTTTAATTCAGGACCATTGTTACCCCGGCTTCATTTTACAGAAAATTGAATTCGAGCGATGGAAAGCGTCGCGTACCGATCCTCGATCGACCACGCCCGCCACGTTCGCGAATTCCCTTTCGATTTCCATGGAAATCACGGTCGGACGTGTCGCCCGGATCTGGCAGACCTAGCCTAGACGATCAAGATGCCTCCTAGACTCAGGACGTTGAAATGCGTCGCGTGTGTCCGATCTAAATCACTTTTCACTGGCACGGCTCGCGTTGCGGTACGCGTTACGCCGTAGACCAGGGTGCTTTTCACCGTGCTCGCGGCTTTCCTTTTCAGAGAGAAAAGCGCTCTGGATTCCCGGCGACGCGCCCGCGATTTTCCTTGCTTCCGGCGTTCTTCTCGCTTCTCTAATTATCCACCAACGTTTTGGTTTGTTTCATTTCTAATTTATGACTCCTTTCTACGCGTAACCGCTCCTGGTCACAGGCGTTTTACATTTTTCTGTACCACGTGGGAAAGTGATCGTTTATCCCTCCGTGCACTCAGATCCATAAGAATTAGTCTAACATTGCTCGGTTGTATAGTGAACTTTAGAAATTTATTTAACGCTAGAACTACCAGCATTGAATGTATACTAAGCTATTGTAAATTGTATAGTAATATATATCGTGTATAATATTTTTTACTATAATAAAATGTAACGTAAAATGTATAGTAAATTGATAGTCATCATAATGTCCGCGAAAAGCACTGTTATAATTTGAATAATCGTAAAATGAGACATCTAGAAATGATTGTTTTGACGGGTTTGGTAGATCTAGCGTTATTTATTGATCATCATTAATGAATATATTTATATCCGTATGAGATGATAGTGGAAAACGTTCTCCTATTATGGAATATCATATTTTCTGTATACATAACAGGTGTCCTAATACTTATGGATCGGAGTGTACGATATTTCGATCCACGCTTCACTGTTCGTCTTATGAATATTCGGTATCGAAGGAATAATGAAAGGCTTCGACGGTAATTAGCTACGATTCAGGAATTAGTTTCCGATACATCACCGCGAGGTATAACCGCCCGTGGATAATGGAATTTCGAAAAAGTTTCACCCACGCGTACAGCATTCCGTTATAGAAAATGTTTGCTCACGATGTTCCGATGGAATCGTTCCCCTGCACACAAGCCAATTGCGATTTCATTTGCAGTTATTGGACGGTAATTTCACGGAACGTTACGATCCGTAAACGATTCTCGACAAATCGAAGCTGACGACGACGGGATAAGATTTCCACCGTGCGCTAAATGTCACATCCTCCATGCATCGTTCCGATATGTACAATACCGGACCATTTAATTTAGACAAAAACATATTTTGTTGTATTTGTTAAAGTTACACGGAGCTACCTACGTATCACAAAATATAAAATAAGTTTTATCTGTATTTAGCTAGACAAAAGTATTCGGACGTTTCATTCATAATCATAAATTGTAATCTGAACCAAGAACTTCACAAGAACATTAAACTATACCTTTTTTCATCCACTCTTGGATGGTACGACGTAAAAATTCACCAAACATTTTAAAACAGAATATCATCCGTATAATAAATAAGAAACACTGACGAGTTTATCTTTCTCATATAAAATTTACACATTACTATTTCAATAGATTTCAATCAAACATTTCAGAACGACATGACATTTATGTCAGTATAACAATAATTAGATCACTTACACGTGTCAGACAAAATACCGTTCGTCCTCCACTAATAACATAATCGGAACGTCAATAATGATTAATTATTAACACCATACGAAGGTGTTACGATTTCACAGTTTATCGACAACTGACAGCCATAATTGATCATAAATCCCCGTTAAGCGTCGAAAGACGATAGATTAACGAAGAGCTTCTGGCGATACGACTAAGGAGGACCGTCCAACAGAAGACAGAATGTCAAACATCGTAACGGTCCCGACATTCCTCGTATCTCTACAAGACTTGAAAAATATTTCACTCGATTAGAGGCTAACGACCATTATCCCGTAGACGTGTTTCCGACTCGTGCCCGGTATCCAAACATGAAAACAGCAGCCCATTAAAACCGATCGAACTGTATTTTCGAGGTTGGAAAAAAGAGTAGAAAGTAGAAATCAAAGATCCAGACACAGCCGGGAAGTGAATATTTTTCTACGATGTCGAGAGCGTCGACAAATATGCGTACTACTTGAATAAATCTCGCCAGTTGTCGCCGCGTTATTCGGCCGCTTTCGAAACGCCCGACTATATCTCTTGCTTTTATTAATCAAACGATCTATCATTGGTTAATAAACGGTGTCTACTGAAATTTATTGCTATACGGCGTAGAACTACGAATCAGAGACAGACTCGTTCAACGTCTAGCCAGCGAGTACCAGGGCAAAGTCTCCTGGTTCACCGATCGTTAGAAAGGAAAATGGTAAACGGTGACTCGGCACCAGAAGTCCAACGAATCTCAGCTCATTGCCAAGGTACCACGCCAGGCGTGTCCGGTCCACTCTGTTTATCGAGACACGAGCAGCGAAAACGGAAACGACCGCGAAGAATCCCGTCGATTTGAACCGTGGATCCGTGTGTCCGTGCAGCGGAAGCTTCCGAACGAATCTTAGAAGGTCCGATCTCCCGCGAGCGTGGACATGGAATCCGTGGGCCCCACCACGTGGCCCACACCGGTATCAGCAGTCAGACGAGCCGATAGACGGCATAAAACGGACACGTAGAGACGGGCCGTAAGAAAGGCAGTAGAAGTTTGCGTGCGCGGGGAGAGCGATCTTGGTTTCAGTCACGGAACCCCACCTAAAAACCCCCTTCACCTTCATCGAGGCGGGCGGCGGTTGTAACGGCTTGGCGAGGGAACCGAAGAAACGGTGAGCGCCGATTGGGGGGGAACTTGAACGTCACTTTTCCAGGCCTCGGTGGCTCATTATTACCGCGGCGCCTTCCAAACATCCTGAGCGAGATATTATACCACCTACCCGGGTGTTGCCGAGCTACATTTACCACCTACTACCACCGCTGCCACTGCTGCTGCCCCGTACCCAACACTTTCTGCCACCACTCCAAGTAGCTCCCCCCTGGTGTGTGCGTGTCTCGAACTGAAAAGGAGGTGAACGCGCGCGAGAGTGTATCATTGGACAAGGAATTGGGGCAGGAGCCAATAGTAAGAAGCGCGAGGTGGAGCGATAGGTTTTAAATAGGTGTACAAGACCAGGGACGGGTGGATTACGGCCAGTCGGATAAGAGACCGATTACGAACGGTGGTGCATTTCGCGGGAGAATTTTCGGGTAATCGTTAGTGACCCTCGCGGCCGTCGTCCATCACACCGGTCGGGTTGGTGGTAGTTCGCTCCCTGGGGATATCCGGGCGACGTCGAGGACGACGACGACGACGACGGTGTGAACACCAGAGAGCCAGAAGTGACAGTCCAGATAGAGCGGCGAGCACAAAGAACGTCTCAGTCGACGCTGAGCCATTGCCTCAGCAAGTCTCGCCCGAGAAACCAGGAGATATTCTAGTTACGAGGAGTTTCGTCCTGCATCACGCGCGCGCCATGAGGCTTTACAGTGGCCACACGGTACTCGTCCTCGGGACGATACTCTCATGCACGGGGATCACGAGCGGCATACGCGTCACGCAGACCGCAAGTAGGAAGAACGGTGAGTCATCTTCTTGCAACTTCTACCGTCCTCTTCTCGCTGATATCGTCTACTTGCTTTACCTAACCCCGCTGATGATGATCGTTCTACAGTTTCCCTTTCCTCTTCGTACGCCACCGGTACTACTCTGTTATCCTTTTCGTTTCACGGTCTTCGACCTTCTCTCGCGGCTTCTTCCTTCTCCTCCTCTTCTTCTGCCTCTTCTTTTTCTTCTTCTTCTTCTTCTTCTTCTTCTTCTTCCTGGTACTAAACCGCTTCGTTCGAGTATTTTCCTGCTTCTTCTAGCTTCTCTCCTGCTATAGAACCAGGATCCTCTTTCTTCACATGTTCGCTTCCCTTTCGATCGCGTAATATCTACGCTACGCCGGATATTCACGGGCGGTCCGCGTGACGATCGCGAGTGAACTGTGCGGTTATCTTGTGTAAAATTGTTATACTCGACGGGATCAGTGAAACACGTGATGTGTAGAATAATAGAGGCACGCTGTCCGGTGAATAGCTAGATTCTGGATAGATACGTGATAGAGTTTATGATACATCGGGACGATCCGCGTTTCTCCCACAATATCACGCGGAATCTTTTTTCTTGCAACTTGCGCGAGGACGAGTATACTCTGATAAATGTCAAAGTAAATGTCAAACGAGGTTGTTGTCTCTCGGAGGAAGTCGGTTGGAATCGGTTTCACTTGCTAGTTTAGTGTGTCGTGCAACTAGTGTCCCGTTTCTCACGCGCAAAGTGTCGTTCGTATCTTCCGTTCTTAGGGAATTATTCTTCGAGGTGTGCAGAAATAAAATATATATTTTACGAACGTTCCTTTCTCGATGTTCTTGCAAAAGAATCTGCACGTTTGACTTTCCGATGGCACTTTTAAGGATGTACATCGTTAGTGATAGTCTCGTGGAAAGCTAAAAGCTGCGCAAGAACCGCGTGAATATTCGATCAAACGATCGACTATACCCGACAGAGACGTTCTCCGATCTAGAAGGATGATCTTTCGACAGGAAGGGAGAGAAATTGTGTGCGTACTGTATGAAATTGCACCGTTATGCTTGATACAGTCACAGACGTCTCCTGTCTCTGTATCTGGGTCGTACGAGGAATTAAGTTATTACTGTTTTACGTTGATTCGATCAAACCGAGGATAAACGTCCTTCGCCCGCCCGAGTTTTCGTGCTGAATCTCGTCGTAGACGAACGTGAAAACAGTCGATTACAAACGGTCTTACTCGTAAATTTCTCCGGAGTATTCTTCGGGTGTCTAATATTTTAAGGGAGTAGTGGAGTAGGTAAAGGAAAAAATATGAAATTATTCGATTGAAATAAAATGATTGAATAAATTAAGTGTAAGTTTTGATAACTGGACAATAATTCGACAAATACAAACTGCTATCCTAAATATGATTTTGACAATATTAGTCCATGGATTGACTTGAAATTTACCAATTACACGAAATATATGTATTTTAATGAATCGCTCTTTTTAAGCAGAAAACTTCAAAGTTTTTTTTACAAAGTATTTGGGAATTTTTTATTTAGAATCGTTTAGGGGTTTCTTTTTTATATCCTTTCAATTATCTCGCATTGTAAAATAATTAATGTATCCGAGTAGAAAATACGTAAATGCAAATACGTAATGCCAAATCGATGTCGGAAATAATTTTTCTTCTAACGAAATTCTAAAAGCACTTTATTCTGCCCGTGTCTAGACTACGTATCTTATCCTTTTAATAATGGAAGAGCAGCGAGGTCGCAAAACACGGCGAACGTTAGACGCTCACCGCCTATGGAGGTAATTGCTGTAATTATAGAAAGCGCGACTAATCGTTATACATTGTAATAATTGTCTCTCTCATTTCTACGCGTACTTGGACTACCGAGACCGATCTCTGTTGGTGTCACTTACCGAAATTACGAATCGGTTTCTGAGCACCGGCCAATTGGAAAACTGTACCTTGTTGAATAATTCTGCAGAGACGACCATATTAGTGTTCAAGGCGTCACGTGTATTTTATGAAAACTTCATAGACGATTCCTGCATTCCTATATAAATCAAGAGCCATTACTCTCGCGGTATCGCTACGAGACAGGCGATGAAAGTGTTTAATATAGATAGTTATCGGTTCGTTCCAAGTAAAATATTATTATATCTTATACGGGTATTTAGCGGTTAAATCACTCGTATTCGTTAGTAGTGGTTGTAACTGAAATTTTATACAACTAATAAATCATCGATTATAAGTATCTACATACATATTGGTCAGTTTCATAAATACATTGTTAAGAATAACAATCAAAACCGTCATTTCTAACAGAGAAAGTAATATCCATTTCTTTTCAATTTAGTTATGTACAAAATTCACTTACTATAGGTAATCACGGTGGAGAGGTATATTACGAGCGTAGTAAAGAAATTGCAGTTAAAATTATTGGAAAAACAATCTGCGCTAGCAAATAGGTAAAAAGCAATTTTGTTACGTGGCAACGTAATACCTCATGCACAAACTATGGTCGGTGAGGCAATGTGTGAACTGTTCGGACAGTGGAACGTTATTCTTCTGGTTTTTCGACGAAATAATTTTCATTCCTTTTAATGGCTGCAGAGACCTAAGGAATGTGTAACAAACGTATCTGTGTAACCTTTTAACACTACGATAGCTTCTACTTTATTAAACTGAAAATATAAAACTACTAGATCCAGGAAACAACTGTACAAAAAGAGAAAATATACTTCCGTGTTTTTGGAAACATCAACGGTCTAACAATAACATATCCTAAACCATCGATAGAAAGTCAGAACCAGACCAGAGCTCTTTAATATGCATTTTTTGCGACCGTTCAAGAAACCGCGCGTAGCTCCGAAATTTAAATATTGTTACGCAACACGAGGAAATACGATTTTTCGAATCCCGACAGGAATCTGTACCCCGCCGCAGCTGGCCAGATTTGCATACAACAAGCAATTGTTCCCCCCGGTACAACCTGCCCCAGCTGTGTTTGTTAATCCGATCCACGATTTTCACCCGAAGTATGCATTCGGTTCGTCGAAACGTATCGTTACGAGATCGTGAAATTATAACGTGTCGCTGAAAGTTCATTTACTCGTTCCGCGAGCGGACGTGAAATCGGCATTGTCGCCGGTGGATCGAGGAAACGATCGGTCGGAGACACTGTTGTCTAATGCTTTGCCCAAAAACGGGGCCAACCATTGATTAATTGCTGTTAAATGACCATACGAGCGTTTGCGTAATGAATGTAAAAGGGGATAACTAGTTCGAGACGAATCACAGGAAGACTCGTGAGCAAGGTTGGCAAATTATCGTAACCATATTTCCTCGAACAACGAGGGTCTGGTTCTGTGATCGTGTTTAAGGAAAGCCTTACCGGTTCTTTCCCCTTTTTTTTCCACTCTGTGCCTGTTGGTATTGCCGCTAGGAATGGCTTTTCAAGCGGATGGTCACGACACCAGTGCATATAACAGTTTATCGGGGACTGGTCCGTGGAGTTGTTCACCTACATATAAATAGCGTTCACTGTCTTCCTCCGCGCGTGATCGCGATCGTTCACCTGTTTTCATATCGACGTGGACGGATTCCCGTAAATTGGCCCGCTAGATATCTCGACTTCAGGCTAGCTAACGTCTCTCGATCCAGCTACCCCGAGCCTTTCTCTCTCCGTCTTTGTTCCAGCCACTGGCCTCTTTGTTCGCCATCTCCTTGTAGTCTCTCGCGTCCTTAACGGTTTAACGAGGACTACTGCTCGTGAATGAAACATGCTGGCGGTGTTGGCACGTTCTCCTACGAAAAAAAAAAAAGAATGTGGTACGGCGCGAGTGTACGCCAGGCGCAGTAAGCTGATCTAATGAATGGAGGCGCCTTTAATGAGGCGAGGCCTAGCTTAACCGAGATTACCAATCGGGGATTCAAACTCAGGATGTTTCAATTTAAACAAGAAGTAACTCAATCGAGATATGACCATTCAGGGATTCAAACTCAGGACTTTTTAATTTAGACGATGATTAGATGCGGATCTAAGAGGAATGTATCTAAACTGGAAACAAACAGGATTCCCATTATCCGTTTATTTTTACGAAACACTGAAATTAGACACACACTCGTGACCTCCACGGCGGTGAATCACGTGTTGAATCATAACCTCAAACTTTCATTAGAGCCTCGACCCATAGCAGCGTCTAAAGCTACGAGACTGCAAGGAGCCGCGTAACAACCGGTTACGTTCCAGAACCGAAAACGAACCGTGACACGACATTCTGCACGGATAGGCGATGGAAAAAAGTCGGAATAAAACGTTCGTTCGCTAGACCGAGTCGAATCGATGAACTTGGGAGAGACAACCGCATCCTCCTTGTCTCTTTTTCTGTTCTCGCGGAAACGGAGAACGAGCCGATGGGGGTACAGAGAAAGAGAGAGAGAGAGAGAAAAAAAAAGGAGATAGAAATCGCGGCTAGTCGAACGATCGACTTTTTGTCGTGGCATCGATCGCTTCTTCCTACACGATGGATCTTCGCTAATCTAGGTTAAACTCCGCATTCCCCGGGCTTGGTTAACCATTCGTACCGATCTTCGTGACGCGTCGTCCGTCTAGAGTTCGCAATCACGGTGAAACCACCGACAGCCGACTACGCCGCAGGTACGTCACGCGTGCGTCCAACGGGCCCGATAGTGGGACCAAGAAAATTGATTCTAATGGATTCGAAATTACACTTATCCCAGACGCCGCTTGGTGCCCGATCCGGAGCCTAGTCAGACCGGTCGATTGATTTTATGGTTGCTCGCGGTGTCTTCGACCGGCTGCCCCCCTGACGGACAAGGTAATTTGTCGTAAATGTTTGCTTCACGATCGACTTGTGGAACAATCGATCTGGACAATTGAATTTCATAGATCGCGGACGAGAAGTCTATTGGTCCCCATCGTTTCGTATTTGAAAAAGACTACCGTCGGTCTTGTTTGGGGGTTATTTAAATGAGGATTCTTCTGGCAAG